AAAAGAAATTTATTTGACCTGCTTTTTAGAAACAGAATATAGATATAATTAACTTTTGTAATTATACCTATATGTTAATAATAATTTAATTATTCTAACAAGTCATAATAATTTACACAAAAATGCTGGTTTTTCTCATTATACTCTATATAAATTAATTTTTTTTATTTGTTTATCTCATTAAAATAATTATATGGCAATTTTAATGTTACGCAATAACTTTTTCCGAATATTCCATTCATTATGTAAGATAAGCGGAATCAGTGGTTTACCATTCAGGAAATATTTACGTAAATCCTTATAATGGTTCTCAAAATAAAGAAGAACGAGAATATAAAAGATTTAGTACTACTTTTTAAATAATTCTTTTACATCCCTCGTACATAAATCCTAGAAAGTAAAAGGATTTATTTTTTCTTCGTCTATATGGCTGCCGAATAATGAAAATATCTACACAATTTTTTTCATTATCAAAAAAATAGAAGTAACCATCTTTATTATTATGATGGGATCTCTCGCATTGCTAGAGTGTATGTATATATAATGAAAAGGGAATGTGATTCCTTGATTGAAATAAAATGTACTTTCTAAAATTGCTATTTCTAAAGATGTATTTTCTCGCACTAAAGGAATTGTTCTGTGGGGTGTAAAGGTTGATTTCAGCAATTCTCATTGATGATGTATCGATGAATTTTAAAATATACGGATGATTAGAAATCGACAAATGCGCATGAAATTCTGTTTAATATGTTTCTTCATATGCATTTATATATTTCTTCTTTCTTTACACAGAAAATTAAAAGGCATTAAAATAAGAAGCATTGCAGCTTATTTTAATGCCTTTTAACTTTCTGTGTAAACACTGTAGATTTTATCATGTTTATGGTACACAATTGAATTTTTTGACAAAAAATTGATACTCGTGTAGTTAATGGAAATTTTACTTGCATTCAAGGATGCAGAGTCTTGGGCGTCACGTAGCCTATCGATTCTTCAACTGACCTACCGCGCCCTATTCACAAAATTTACACAACACTTGAAGATTCTTCAAGATTTTTTTTATGAATTACTACAAATAGAAAACTATTTCTTTATCGCCCTGGACTCCAAAATTTTAATTAAAAAAATTCAATCAAATTTTACATTTTTTATAAAAATATAAGTCAGTTGAACTTTCCAAATTCTTGTAAAAGTCCTATCAGTAGTGAAAGTCAGTTTTGGTCAGACATGATGCTTTAATTTTACACAAGTATTTCCATTGAAATAATTATCTTAAAATTTGTTTAATATGAAGATTGTAATTTACTCACATTATTCCGACTTATAGACTTGAGAAGACGAAATAAATTTCAGAATTGCATTATACTCACCTGAAACAAACAAGAAAACATCATTAGCAATATGATAATTATTAGAATTTGTAATTGTTAATTTAATGTTTAAAATCAATTAATTAGAAGAATTGTCGGTTATTTAAATTTTTTAGCAGCATACAGCAATAAAAAACGAAATGTAACACGCCTGTTTACATAGTTGCCGAAGCAAAACAGATTATAACTACTGTGTTACATTTGTTAAATTATATTGGCACACTGCCCCAGTTTATATATCAAACGCAGCTTCACGAATTAAAATTGTTCTTTTCGCTAGTTTCGTTGGGTGCTAAACACGCCAAAAACTCATAAATTGTCTTCATTTTTTATAACGAGGACAGATAGAAATTTACTCTTTTCACAAAAACACAAATTACATTTATTTGAAAAATATATTCAATATTACATAAATATTGAAAAGAGAAACTGCTAAATCAATCAAATATATTAAAACTGTTTTTGAAACTTTTAACAATATAAGGCTAACAACTTTCTGTTGAATGCTGTGGATTTAAAAATATTTTTAAATTAACAAAAATTAATAACTATGTCATAAAATTGGTAACAATTAAACAAGATTTTAAATTGGATTTAAAATTTTAAAAATAATTGAATTTTCTAAAATTATAATGAATACAATCATTTAGCTTTTAAAGATAATGTATAAGATCAAGACCTTATTTAAAAGATATTAAAGAATTGTTGAGGTATTGTCAAAAAGAAGAGGTTACACTGAAAGAAATTTTTCGTTATTACTGCCATAATTCTTGTTGTTTCTGTCATCGCATAACTGAATTAACATGACACTGTTACTGCCATACAGTTCGGGTAATCCAACCAAACGAATAGTACTTCCAAAGAGCAAGATGTCTGAATCAGATTTCACATGGCTAATATAACCTAACTTACCTGCCAATTTAAAAGTCTTATAACCAATTCAACCAGAACTCTCAATCACAAATTTATGACTGAAATTTCGATAGCATTTCTTTCCGTGTAAATTCATTGATGTTATACAAATTGAATTAATGTCATTATATTACCTCACACCCTATAGCGGCGTTTTGCAATATAGTAACTAATCGATTGGAATAAATGACGAATAGTATTGAAAAGACTCAAGCTTCACAGTATCTCACTTTAACCCTATAATATACTTTTCTCAAATACAACAATGATCCAACAACAATTGCTTATAAAAATTTAATGCGTGTCTTGGACATTTTTCAATTACATAAATTGAGATTATACTTTTACAAAAATAAAAAATTGGTTAATATAAAAATAAGACAGTAAAGGTTTGACAAATAAAGTATATATCAAGTTTAAGGAAGGACCTTTTCTCTCGGAATGAAATAAAATGGAAATGACAAAATCGATATGGTCTCTCGGGCTCAATGTAATGGATTTACGATTCATCTAAAAATAGAATCAATTTCTCTGATACTGACAACAAACAAGGACACTGGCACAACAAAATACAACAATATCATCTAAAAAAATAAAAATGAATCAGTATTGACAATATGCGATGTCAAGGAATTTAACCCAGTCTAAATAGGAAAATCAAGATAAATCTGTCGTTTTCTTGCGACATTTTTCGGACAGTTGCCAAATAATGCTGATTTTAACTTTTGCAGTAGAAATTCGCATCTAACATTAAAATTAACAAACGGCCATGCCTCGATTGTGATGTGTATTTTTTTAAAATACTTTTAATCTTTGTTGCTTATGTAACTTATACAAATATTCCTTCCCTGGTTAGTTTTGAATTTGAAAATAAAACTTTAGAATGTGAAAAAACAGAATATTTGAATGAAGAAATAAATTTCACTAAAAAAGAAAATTGTTTGCGCTTTTCATTTTCTTGAGACAATTATACTCGAGAGGAAAATATTTTCATGCCTCAATGACAAATGTATCGGTAATCCGATGACGCATAAGAATACTTCGCAGTCACAGTCATACCCATCAAATAAAATTTTTACCGCACCTTTACGCCCATTATTATTTTCATTTCTTTGAAATTCAGCAAACAATTTATAATACAAAATGTAAATTAATGGACACATCAAGCTTATTTTTTGTAAACAAAATTGTAAACAAAATTTTAAGATTATAAAAAGAATAGTAACCTGTTCACTACATAGTAAAATATAAAATATAAAATTACTTCATCTAAATACAAATAAATAAGAGAAATTTAAAATCTATTTTTTTTTTTTTTTTTTTTTTTTGCAATAAAGTACATAAATAGAACAAGCCTTGATCTACATATTCAAACAGAAACATCCTAGTGAAACTTTAATTGTGACTATCAAGTCAGTTTGAAGCCAGTAATTGGATCTGTAAATGCACAGCATCCCCTTTCTTTTCCTTCATCTTTTTTCCAAGAACAATATCGATTGTAGACTCGGCCGAGTTAATTTTCAAGGAACATCCTATTTTCCTCGTATTAGGAAATTTGAAACTATACAAAAAATCACACAGCAGCACTGACACTCATTTAAGGAGAAAATATCTATACTATACGAAAATAGACTAGTTTACCTCGAAATGAAATAATCTGAGTTTTCAAACTGATGCGTATTAAAATTTTTTAAGTAAGATAAAAAGTCTATATAATCAACAATCATGAATCAATAAAATTAACAATAACTGAGAACTACCATTGATTGTAGATAGGATTAATTAAAACGGCCATTAAAGAATTAACTATTCCATTTTTGGAAAGTGTCTTAAATTAAAGTACCAATAACGTAAAATGAGTGCATCTACGCACGTGATATTTGATTACTCATTAAATTTTTGAGAATATTTCAAGGATTTTGACAATTTTTACAGAGGACAATATAGAATTACATCTATAAGATAACTTGGTCGATATGCGCGTTTCATTCCAATGGTGAAACTCATAAAAGGACCACCCACTTGAGTGAAGGATTCCGGAAAATAAAGTAAGGAAATCTGTAGATTTCAAAATACGTAGTATAAGAGAGGCGAAGGTCGATGCGACACTTGATAAATCGAGGTCGCATTCCCGTGCAAAGTTTTGCCAAGTATAGTACAGCAATTTTAGCCGCGATTGTCTATTCTTAAAAAGTACATTTTCCCTTAAACAATAAAAAAAATCCAAATTTTAAGAAACGAAAAATAATGAAAAATTGTTGGAAAAAGTTAATTATCTATGAAATAAATTTAATCTATACAGACACTTTAATTAAATGTATTTCCTTTACGAAATCAGCTACTGATAATTTTTTATTATTATTATTATAACGAAAAGAATGTTAATGAAAATAATTCTACTGAAATTAGGTATAATAAAAATAAAAAATATAATAATATAAAAAAAGTGGAAAAATCTAGTGAGTGTGCAATGGAAGAATAAAGAAAGCAATAAAAATCAATCCAGAACTGAATAAGAGCTTCTTAGAATTGAACTAACAATAAGTCTCATTGATTTTGACGTACTTGCACTGATCAATCGAATCTGTTTAATCTGAGTAATAATTTAGATTAAAAATAAAGTGGCGTCAATTTTTGAGATTTTAAAGATGCAGAATCGCAACTCTACATGTACTAATTTTGATGAGCGTTGGGACATTGTTGAAAGGCCCAACTTACATAGCCATACGTTGCCCTTGGGCGCCGTGTGGAGTAGGTTGAGGTGAAGGTTGAAGTCAAGTCCTGCCAAGTCCTGTCGAAGGTGGGTTGTGTCCATACCAAGAGCTCTCTCCGGCAGTAGAAAAAGATGATCGCTACCCTCGGCGGGCCCCAGGGTTCGAGGCACTCCGAGCCCAAGAGGCCCTGAACGGGCCGTCAACATTCTTGCTTTACTACTGGCACCAATCGCCTTTCCACGCGGCGAACCATGCTCCGTCTCTGACTTAATCTCCGACACTCTGCTCAACTTGTTGTACACTCTATCTTGCTCACTCTCAACTGGTCCGACCCTTCAACCCTTTTTCAATTTCTTCTTCTTCTTTTAAAAATTTTGCATTTACGATACACTCGCGGTCATTTACTTTTCATGTCACTCAACTTAAACTGGAACTCAAATTTACAAACTTTCCTTTTTGGCTTAATAGTCTATTTACAATTGCCCACTTTCAGAGTAGACAAAAGACACTTGTTTTGAAACGGGATGTACGGTTCGAAGAATTAAATAATCAGCACACTGATTTATCTCGGGGATCATAATAATAATAATAACAATCTGTGACTCAGCGAGTCAATCAACTTGGAAGATATGTCAATATACAAGGAGAACCTTACGCAAAAATCACGCGCAGTCGATAGAACAGGGATCGATTGTAACGAGCGGTCGTTGACACTGGCAAAACATATAAATGTCTCGTGTATTAAAAAGAATCGCCGATCAGTATCTGAGAGGACCTCGAAAGTACACCACCATTACTGTTATTTATACCGGCGAGATGACCCACTATGACAAAATTTTCAACGACCTTCAATTATTGAAAATAATTTGCATCACAATTTTCTAACATTCACTTCACTTTAATTAATGATTCACTTTTTATTTGACAAGTTCAAGAAGAGTGTATGTACTTTTCTTACGAAAATTATGAATCAGATTATAGAAAAAGGGATGATTATAATCTTGATGAATTGAAATTGATTGCTAATCTTAATTAAAAATGAAAAATTCAATTTAATTGGTGAATTTCTGTCAATAATTGACGATGATAGTGAAAAACTCGTGACATGAGAGAAAACGCAAAGACGATACACGATCCCTCGCTTTCGATGGTCAACAGCAGACTGGTGTGTAGAGCGCGCGCGTTCCGACTACGCGAGGGTCGACTCGCGGTGCTCAACGAGCGCAAGACTTTTATTCTTTTATTATACCTATATCACTGTTTACGAAACTCATGAAAATCTCTATAGCTTGCTGTAAGTTTTATTTTTACTATTGACTTAAAAGAAAAGTATTTTCTATTTCAAATTTATTTATTTACTCCAATATTTTTGAAAACTCCTAATTAAAATACATTGGAATCTCAATTCAAGCAAATATGCCTATAAATACTTTAACTCAAACATGTACAAAGTAGTTTATGAAAATGTAATATCTCATAAGTAAGAAATAAAAAATATAATTAATACAATGTTTCTTAAATGGTAAGAAGCGATCGTTTTAAAATCGCATTCTTATATTATGGGATTCTTAGAAGATTCCTGGTTATTTTATAATATATATAAAGATTTTTCATAAACCGAAACGAATAATCACACACTTACTGGATGCACTAAGACAATTCTGTAAAAACTAATTAAATACATAACACTGACAGTGAATTCTTTGATGATTTCACTGAATAGCGGAAGTAGACTTGTCATTAAAAGTTACAGTAAGGTATTTAATATAAAAGCACCGTTTCGTTATAACTTGTATACACAGGAGCTTTTAAACTGAGAAAAACTTTTACGTCCAGTTAAGAAATTTCTACCTCCTTCAATAATAACAAAAAAAAATATTAATCAATAAAAACTGTTTCTACAATAATAGTAGCAGAAATTTCGCCATTTACATATTCGATCTGAAAATGACTTGCAATCTACTTGTCATTAAATATAACCACCTAATTACGAATATTTATATTTGTCAAAGTGTGTCACAAATGAAAGCCCATATGCATATAAGTATATATTCACATAAAAAATGGAACTTGTTTAAAAAAAATGTTAACGTTAATAGGTATATAAGGACATTAATGAATATTGTTAATTTTTCAACAACGTAATTACTGTCATTGAATGCATCTCTATCGCTCTCGTTTGTATACACATCCCAGGAGGAATAATCAAGTCTATATACTTTTTGAATAACGTTTCGAAGGAGGTCGTCGGAAGAGACAGTTTATAAAGAGAGGTCTAATGTCCGATGCATCAGACAACCAACTCCACCCGTCAGTTTAACTCGATAATTAATGACCTACTATTCAAAACCAAACTGAAAGTAACGATCATGTCACTTTGCAATGATTATCAGATTGGAACAACACAAATAAAAATAATCTTCCACCAACTTCATATATACTAGATTAAAATCATTGTTATAATGGGTGAGTCGTTCATTTCTGAGAATATCAATGGTTCTTTTCAGAAAATGTGCGCAATTTAATAAAAATAATATTCTTCTTTTCTAATTTTACAGATTACCAAACATTTAATTTAAAATCTACTGCTACAAAACGTCATTAATTAACATTACCATCAGTTACATAAAACTACTACTATTTGGAGCTGACAACAATACTTGGCTAGTAAAAGCTACTTGTTTGTTAAAAGTGCTTGATAAAGATAACTCTGATTTGTAAATACTCATCTTCCCTTTAAAAATGTGTCAATATTGAAAAAGTTTTAAAAAAATCAGTACGACCTAAATTGGTATATATTAATGCTTGTGTGTCTTTTCCATGAATGAAAAAAAAACGAGACTAACGTATATCTACTAATTGAGAGTCGTAAACCGGAAAGGTATATTACAGCTATATGTATTACTGCAGCTTGTAGAAACGAGACACAAACCAAGAAAGAAATTGCGTGCAGTGCCATTCGCTTCAAAACTCGCTTTACGGCCCTGAAATCGTTTCAGGAAACCGTATCAACAACTCCATCGACATTATTTGCCCATTTTACACTAGTTTTTCCATTGGAATTACTTCGGGGAAACAAACTTTCATAAGCGAAGCACACTGTACGTCCTAGCAGAAAAAAATTATATCGAACATAGTCGGGTAAAAATAGATTATCAACAACTGTAAATTTAGCGTTGTTTTTTCCCCTCCCTATTTCTCGAAATAAAATTATTCAACAACATCAATTAAACAATTATCGTGTTCGAAATTAGAATACAGGAGATATATATATATTTCCGCATTTCTCTCAAGAGTCAAAGGTGATTATACGTATTTTTTTCCGCGTGTAATCTAATCACGAATCTATTTCTACTTTTTTGTTTTTGATTTTTTAAATTTCTCTTTGCAGAAACAATAGATGGGCAAATTTTATGAAAAATTTACATGTGTTGGATTTGTTAAGCGACTTGGAAAATAACGGTGTTTGCAACAGTGGATATGAAATGTACATTAAAAAGAAGCACTGTTACATGGGATTAATTTAAATCATGTCTGACCGGTGAAGATCCATTATTCTACGTGAAAGGCCATCAGACGTATGTTCCTTCGTTGCTCACGTACACGTGATAAATACGAAAATCACTTTGCACTAAATACAACGCCATAGTTCCGATTTGAGCTCATTAACCGTATATTTATGTAACTCATCAATTACTATTGTTAACAGGAATCAATTTTAACAAATTCTTATTAAAAAGTTTCTAAATCGTTCTACTTCTTTCACTTCCTATAAAACTGACAAAATAATAATTTTAGTCAGGGTTGATAATCTATTTTATTTAAATATTTGAAAAAATAAAAAACGAGAATACAACGAAGACGACGTCATCTATAAATTTAAAATGCTCGTAAGGAATTCAGTTGAATTGCTATAGACTAACGTTATATACAGATTGAGACAATTATGTCGAGCAATATAAAATTAGCAAATTTGCTCAACTGTACATGGTAGTCAAGTTGTGACTCAAAAGTCAATCCTAACACCAAAGTTAACCACCATACCACCATTTGTCATAAGGTAAGCGGTGAAAAGGATTAAGTGACTCAAGCAATGTCCTAACCACCGCCACATAATTTAAATAAATTCAAAAACACACATTAAGCAAAATATTTTGTCTTTAAGAAAAAAATGCTAATAAATACAAGAAATTTAACACGAGACATCCGAGTTTAAATATGTATGACAATACGCACGTGTTATAAATTTCACAATTAATTTTTTCCGTCTTAAAACACGGTTAGAAAGTATCCTGATATCGCAAGTTGAAATCTTTTACTATGATATAATAGACCAACTTTTTCAAATAATTTTTCTATATGCATATTTAACAATCTGCGCCTCCTTTTTCCATAAGGTTTAGAAGAATATTGTTACAAAACGCGTGACAGGAAACGCAAGTGACTATTATTTTTTTAAAACCAAGACCATTCCGGTTGTAAAAAAAATAAATTCTCACACTATGATTACGTAAACAATAACAATTGACACGAGAAGAGAAAAGTAGCATTAATGAAAAGAAATTAATTTTTATGTTTCAAAGCTAATTTTTTTGTGCCAAGGCGTGAGTAAAGTGCACCACGTGGAAAATAAATTTCAATATATGTATATGTATTTTATCCGAAACATTTAAGGAATAGATGATTCGATTAGTTTCATTAAAAGACATATGGCTTTGATTAAAAAAGTAATTGAATTTATTTTTCTTTCTCGCCGTTAATAGTACAATTTTCAGCTCTCACAAGTCATAATTAACTCTAAATGTTTAATATATAATTAATTTCATTTCAATATATGCAAGTTAAAATTATTTAACTCTTTAAACTTTAAAAAAGGAATATTTCTTAAACTTGTAAAACAAAATTTTCTTCTACTCAGTAAAAAAAATAGAGGGGAGAGAAGTGTAAAATTAATTTTAGTCTGACACTATACATATATGGAAAAAGGTGAAGATAACGTATAAAAACCTGACAGAATTATTATAACTACCTTTAACTTAATTATTTATAATACTCCCCCAGGGAACATTGATAATGCAGAAAAGAAGAAAGGAATTAGTAATTTGTGGCTTGGAAGATGCTCGTTTATTTTGTGGTCGTACTTTCCTGCATTTATATACTGATCTTGCGGTTAGTTTCATGGACCAACAAGGATATGCTTTAAAAACACTTCCGACAAGATTCCATGTAATCGATGCGAACGTAAATCCTGATGAGCGCGCATATACACTTGACATTCTTTTCAAAATTCCACGCATCTTTCCCAAACAATTTTCTTTTAATTAAGGAATATATATTACAAATTAACATCTCTCCCGCCCCATAAAAATTACTTTTCAAGACAAATACTTAAGAGAGCCTTGAACTTGCAAAAAATGCAAAAAAAATCTGTCAAACCTTATCTAAGCTAAACTGGACATTAAAGTCTAATACTGGCCTTTCTATTTATTGATTATCTAATACGAGAGTAATTATGAAATCAATTATAATTAAAAAATGATTTTTAAGCTCATGAGGAAATTATCTGCATATGGGGCATTTTTCCTCATACGTCCCAGTGAAAAAAGAAAAATTATTTTGGAATCATTGATTGTATCATCATTGTGTCAAAAACTATTATTACAATTATTTATTGGTTTCGAAATTTCTATCCTACTTTCTATGAGTTTAATATAGAAGAAGGATCACACGCTCGACCAAGCGCGCAGAGAGCCAAGTTCGCTTTCATGTTCGCAACACTGTGAGGTCATATTTTGAGAAAAATCTTTACTAAAGATCATTCGCGTAAATCGTGTCCTAAGACCACTATGTTTGCTACACATATGTATGTTTTTTAATTCTCATTCTATCTCTTATTCTGTTACTCAATAAAATATATGTGTCTATAAACTTTCATAATTTACATCGTTTTTTGTATACATTGGCTTCCGGCCTCACATTCATCTCTTTCCTTTACATAATGTATTTTATCACTTGAAAACAATAGTATACCATTCTGTTAATTTATTTAAACAAATAAATAATGTAAATTAATCAACGAAGCTTTGGTTAGATGAAAAACAATTGAAACTTTACTGAGACCAATGACAACACGGAGAAATTATTGGTTTTCGCAGTT